AATAGCACCGAGATGAGGCCTGGCAAGGAGGCCAGTGTGTGGGCTGAGGGGAGAGCACCTTCCTGGAGAAGCTGGCTCCAGGCCACATTGGTGCAGCTTTTCTGAGGTCAGGACTGTGCAGAACGGGGAGGCAGGGGCTGGACATAGCAGCAGAGAGAGGCTCAGATTTACACAGAAGGACGGAATAACATCAAAAAGATGCAGAAGGCGCAGCCCAGGAGGAAGGCGGGTGTCGGGAGCAATTCTACATGATTTGGGGGAAAAATCATGTTATAATTAAATCATGATTAGGGCCTAGTTTTCCTGTCTATAGGCCAGCTACAGCATGTCCAGATATAACTCCGTTTTTACCTCCAGTCACACCTAAGACCTCAATGGTCCCCTGACTTTGTGATGTTTTAGGGCAGGACTACACCAGCAGGAGACATCCTGGCAGGAACCAAATCTCTATTTGCATAGTTCCTCGTTGTTTTAGGCTCCTTGCTGCACCCTCTGAGTCAATTGCTACTTCTGTTTCTGCTGAGGTTCTGAATAAAGGTGTGGCGAGCTCCAGGTCTGGGGTCTTTGCTACCCACAGCGGCGTTGATCAGGCCAAAGCTCAGCTTTTTCTCTAAGTCTCACTTTCTGTCTATATATTAATTCATTCACCTTGTGCTGTTGTGGCTCACAGGAGACTAGGACTTACTGCAGAGGTTCTAATAATGTCCCCTTTCCCTGTTCACTACAGGAGGGGAAGCAGGACAGCTGCCTCAGGAGGGGAATGACTGGAGGAGAGAAAAGGGAGAGAGGCAAACATCTGGCATTTGGTCACCACCTCTCTAATGCCTCTTACAGGCACTGTGTGTGCCCGGTGTGTGTACTCACTCACTCACTCTTGCAGCAGTGTAATCAAGTCTCCTAGAGCAGTAAGGCAGCTAAGTATCTAGCAGCTCACCTGTGACTTCAGGAAGCAGACCCAGGCACCTGAGGCCTCCTGAAGAAGAGAAGTGAAAAGGAACAGGCAGCCAGGCATCTGTCTTACGAAGAGACCTCCCAAATACACTCCATGATCACACAGCTCCACACAAAGCTGCTGGCCCTGTTGTAATTGCCTCCAGCAGTGTCCAAACACCTTCGTGCAGCTGGGCAAAGGCAGCCTCTGGGGCACACCTTCCCAGAGCACACCTGCACCGTGTGGAATTCCTCTCTGATGACGCCAGAACAGGGACAGGAGGACTCTCAGCTGGCAGAGTCGTCCATGCTTCACCAGCCGCCCCCTGGCATCCCAGAATACTAAGCAGCTTCCATGGCAACACCAGAAAATAAGGCCCGGCCTGCCCTCAGCCAGCAGCAGCTCTCACAGGTCCTGGGACCCCTCCTGGAAGCCTCACTTTATTAGGAGTCAATCAAGACTTTTAAGGCTCCACTTCCAGATCCAAGCCAGCTCCAGTTCCCTGACTGCACACCGCCCCCTTCAGAGGGAGCAAAGTTATCTGGCCTGGAAGGAAGGTCGTTCAGAGCTTCTGGTACCTTGCAATTCTGTGGGCCCCAGGGAGGGGCGAATGCTTTGGAACCACATCAGAAGAAGTGAGCCTGAAAGAGCACCCTTGCTGGCGTGTGGACTCCCAGTGACTCACAGCCAGGACCTCGGCAGGACACGGTGGCTGACCAGGTCACTCAGAACAGCCTCTCAGTTCCCACCAGGACCTTCAAGTCCTGCCACCACCCCAGAATTTCAGCCCCAGGGAAACGCCACCCCACTCTCCTCCTCTCTACTCCAGCTCCTCTGGAGTGAGTCACAGACCTTACAGGAGGCATCAGGTGCATTCGCTACCCCAGTAGTGTTCCCCAAGCTCCTGGGAACTTTGGAGCTCTTCAGCACCCACAGCAGGATGTCTGTGGATCGGGGGCCGGGAGGACTTTAGCCCCCACCAGTGCCACTTTTGCCTCGCTTTATGTGTGGGTTCTGTACATAACACATTGATTAAAAGGAAGAAGAAAAGTCCCTGTTGCTTTACCAAGCCTGAAGAGCACTGTTCAGAACAAACAGGCAAATTGGTACACAACATGGTTATCACAGGTAACCATATGGGCTTCTTTGTGAATGCTTCGCTCTCCAAGGGGTGGTGGCCCTGCTAGGTCCTCTACCAGCCCAGCGTCAGCCTGGCCTCCAAGGCCCATGTCCTGTCACACACGCCAGCTTGAGCCGTTCCTTCAAAAATGACTTCCTCTAAGAGGCCCATGTGCCCAAAGCCATCAGCTCTAAAAGGGACAGACAGGGAAGGGTGTGCTGAGGGCAGAAGGCTGTCCCCCATCAGGAGGCCCCTCAATCCTGGCCATCACAGGGCCAGCAGCTAGAGTCCCACAATCGCACTTTCTCCATGGTTATGAGCTTTGACCCCAAACTTTTCCTTTGGTGCATGTTCAATGCCATGGAGAGAAGCTGAATGAATAGTTCAATTATATCATCGTAGTAACATAGCCATATGGAAGAAAATGACATTTATTCAATAATATCTACTATACAGTTGATATTCAAAATTGTATAATTATCCCAATGAGATTTTTTCATTTTTTTGGAACTGTGGATAGAACTCCGGACCTTGTGCTTGGCAGACAAGCGGCGGAACCACTGAGCTAAATCCCTGGCCCCTCCAATGTGCTTTTTATAATTTTTTTTTGACTCAAGATCTATTCAAGGCTCACTCACTATGTTTCAGGCTAAGTTTCCTCTGTGTCTCTTTCCTGCAGCTTATCATCTTTTCTCAAATAAGGCGGAATTCATGGAGTGGTTCAGGCCAACTGTTTTTGTAGTGTCCCACATTTGGGGTTTTTCTGATCCTTGTTGTTAATTCAGGTGGGTCTGTACTCAAGTGACGATGTGTGCTTATGAACCGCGTCACCTTGGAAGGAGGTGACAGCAGGCTGGACCACCTGGTTGCCAGGTCCTCTGCCAGGTTGCTCCACTGGGAGGTCCTCCAGCCCTTCAGAGCCAGTGCGGCAGCTGTTGATGATGCTTTGAGACTCACAACTTTCCAGGCCACCGTCACCTCTCACCAACGAGCTTCTACACCCAGGGAGGGGCCTGGCCAGGGGCTTCAGGATACAGATTTTCCTGATTAATGAGCTACAGTGCCATAAAAAAAAACCTTTGCTTCCCCCCGCACCCTGTTGCTCCCTCTCTGATTATCACTACAGTTGTGGATTTTATCACCATCATCATCATCATCATCATCATCATCATCATCATCATCATTCAATGTATCAACCTCATTAAAAGCTATGCATCTCTTAACTGAAATGTTTGGGACCAGAAGTGTTTCAGATTTGGGAGGGGTTTTTTGGATTTTTTGCATAGGCTTTACTAGTTGAACATCTCTCATGCAAAAATTGAAAATCTAAAATGCTCCAAAATCTAAAGCATTTTGAGTGCCATGTCAGTGTTCAAAAAGTCTTGAATTCTGGAGCAATTTGGATTTAGGATTTTCTGATTAGGGCTGCTCAGCCTGTGCTGTCATTATTCTTTTGTGGGGTGGGGTGGGGGTGAGACTGAGTCTAATCAATGTAGTTCAGGCTGGCCTTGAATTTGTGGCAATCTTCCTGCCTCTGCCTACTGAGTGCTAGGATCACAGGTGTGTGCCACCACACCCAGATCTCATTATTCTTTTTGATGCTCCTGTTTTTCCCACGCTGACTAGACAGAGCCCTTTCACCCCACCTCCTGGGTCCTCAACCCTGACCTCACTGCTCTCTGAGGGTTGCCTGATGCCAGGCGTCCCAGGCCCAAGTTTCTCCCTACTTCTGCCCAGAACCAACATTCTCCAGGTCCTTTGAGCAAGCTGCATCCTACTTGTGAAGCAGACTGGCAAGCTTACCCTCTCTCACATTTCTGTGGTCACAGCTTTGCCTTCTTTCCTCTGCTCCCATCCTCTGGCATTCACCATCACAGCAGACCCTCTGCTCTTTGCCTTTGGTAGGAAGTGGGGAGCAGAGAGGAAGACAGGGACCTACCGGGCACTTAGGGACACTGTCACCCACTCACCAGCTGATGCGAAGCTTCCTTTAGCACTGGCCAAGGACTCACTGTGTTGTGATCCCATGTATGAGCTTTATATATCAGTTTATTCTATTTTATTTTATATTCATATAAAACAGTCTCATAGGAAAAGTACTACCTAGTCCCTTGCGTTCCTAGCCCTTCTCTTACCTATTTGTCACCATTAGCACTTACTGCTGCTCAAAGTACAAAATGTAAGTAACGCTTCTGTTCTTTTCATTCTCATCCCACTAGAGTATCTGTTCCGAGGATGGCAGGTATGTTTAAGTCCACAGCTTCGGTCACTATTGTCCTCTCGGAGCCTGGAGTTCAGTAGGTGCCCTCACTGCTCGTGAATGAGCAAATGGCTTGGCCAGGGCACAGGCCCGGGAGCGGCAGGACCTCCCACCCACTCTTCATCACTGCCCTTCAGTGGCACCCGCCCAGCTGTCGCTCAAGCCCCTCTCTGTGCTCCCAGACCCCTTATACTGTTGGGTCCGAATGGTGCAGTATCAGATCGCCGTCTGTCCTATCTGCAAAGTGGCAAGTCCCTCTACAGCAAGGACAAGGTCACGCTTATCTCTGTGGCCTCGGCATATAGCACAGGAGCTGGCACAAAATGTTTGTTTGTTGAGCTCCTGGCTCCAGCCAAGAAAGCACACACACCGCGGCCACCTCGCTGCCTGCGCCGGGCTTCCAGCCAGCCACTCCAGAGCTGAGGGAGCTCACAACAGGTCCCCTGACTCAACCACCCCGGGCTGCTTCAGCCACAGCTCCGGTCACAAAGGCCATCATCCCTGAGGCAGTGCAGAGCCAGTGTTCAGAGAACAGAGCAGGGGCGGAGGCTTAGCAGGCCCAGGTGGGGCAATGCTTGACCTCTAGGAGACAGGGACAAAGGTTGGGAACCCTGTTCCTCCAAGCAGCTTGGAGAGGGACAGAGGGAGCGGGTTAGAGTGAACAACACCAGGCATTAGAATGGCCTCACCTGCTCTTTCCTCACAAGCTTCTTTTCCATTTGCTCAGAGGCTGGGTTCTCGGGAGGCACAGTCAGCCGCAGTCTGCAGACATTTGCCTAAAAGAGGAGGAGAGGACAGCCCAGTCAGGAGGCAGCCAAGAGCCAGGTGCCCTGGGCTTCTCGAAGCCCGTTTCCCCACTTGGCAAGGGGACCACTGCCCCCACCACTCAGGAGACCAGGGGGCTGAGACCACCTTTGCCCAGCCCAGCATAGACACCACACCACCAGCCTGCTGCTCAGGCCAAAGAAATCACCGTGTGACTTCAGAGATTTCAAACATTTTTAAATGGCTCAGGTTCCACAGCAACATGTACAGAATCATCTCATTTCACAGGTGCAGGCCAAGCACAGCTAGAGGGATAGAGGTCAAAACATTCTCTAAGGCAGATTTCAGGAGTTTAGAGTAGGAAGGTGCCTTCCATTTGATTATGTATTTAACTCTTCTACAACAACATGTGGTTTTTAATCACAACTTCTTTTCATGTCACATTGGCAACAGCATCATTCGCAATATCCAAAAGGTGGAAGCTACTCAAGCATCCTCCGTCCAATGGATGGATAACCAAAGGTGGAATATATATACACACACACACACACACACACACACACACACACCACGCACACACACACCACGCACACACACTGTGGAAGATTATTCAGCCTTAGAAAAAAGAAATTCTGACACATGCTCCAATACGCTAGACACACAAGGGCAAATACTGTATGATCCCACCTACCTGAGGCAGGTAAAGTCAAATTTATAGAGCTTGAAAGTCTAACAGTGCGGGGGAGATATGGGAGTCAGAGCTCACTGGGTAGAGAATGTCAGTTTGAGAGGTGAAAGAATTGTGCAGATGGGTAGTGGTGATCGTTGAACACATTGTAAATGCACACAGTGTCACTGGACTCCACAGTTCCACTTAAAAATGACTAAGAAGGCAATGTTAAAGTTTTGAGTATTTTACAATTTTTAAATAAAAGAATAAAACTCAAATCAAAGCAACTTATATCTTCTGAATACAAACTAAAAGGAAGACAGCTGAAAAGGTACAGGAGACTAAGAACATAACAATTATAAATTGATAAAACATCTGACTCCCTAATTGGCTACACCACCATGGTTAGTTATTTGCTGCTAATCCTTGAGATTCTTGTGAGATTCAATTTACTACAGATTGTCAAGAGAGGGCACTGAAATATTGGAATAAAGGATCCTAAGTGATTTTTAAAAGTCTAGGGCTGGGGGTATAGCTCAGTACAGAGCACTTTCTTAGAGCCCACAAGGCCCTGGGTTCAATCCCTGGTTACAGAGCACATACAACAGTCTAAATTGTACTGTTTCTCTTAAAATACTTAAAAGCAGTGACACATACTATAAGCTGTGTGATTTATCAATATTCTATCAACAAGCGTGGGGGCTCTGAGTCACATGATTTTCCTGCCCAGTAGGGCAGAAAATAGGCTCCCATGATCTGCAGTACAAAGGGCAGGAACAATAATAATAGCTGATCATGTATCTAGCACTTACTGCATGCCAGGCACCTCCTAAGTGTTTGACACTCACTCATTTCATCCCCACTAGGACCCCAGGGCAATAGGTACTCTTGCCAGCCCTGCTTTGCCGTGGAAGACTCTCATTCTCTGAGGGGCATATGATGAGGAAATGGGAGCACTGAGGACACAAACCCACGGAGGTCTCCATGGCCTGGGCTCTTAACCCTTGTGTTCATCACCCATTGAAATGCCACAGGGTGGTGGTGGTGAACCTATGGCACACGTTAATTCCTGAAATCTCTAAACGGTTCACCATCGCTGCTACAGGGGCTTGACTCTTGGGAATGCCACTGTGCCCTTTGTGGGTTGAACTGTGCACTCCTAAAATTCATATGCTAAAATCTAACCCTAGTTTCTCAGAATATGACCTTACTTAGACATGGGATCTTTCCAGAAGTAAGCAAGTAAAAATGAAGTCCCAAAGGTAGCCCTAAAACCAAATGGCTGGTGTCATTATGAAAGTGAGAATCTAGGAGATAGATGACATGGGGGGAGAAAGCCTCATGAACACACACACAGTCATCTACAAGCTGAAGAGCACCTGAACGGGCTACACCCTCACAGCCCTCTGAAGGAACCATTGCTGCCAACACCTTGAATTTGGACTGCCAGCCTCCAGGACTGTCAGACAAGAAATGTATATTGGTGAAGCCACCAGGTTTGTGGTACTTTTTATGGTAACCCTACTGAAGGAACTCTCCTTCCGTGCTTAGCCCAGCCCAATCTGGTCAGCAGGTCACAGATCCATATTGCTCAACAGGCAACCTCCAAGCAGCCTAGACGTAAGGTTGGATGGGATCTTGAAGGACTCTGAAATCCTACCTGTCCGCCTATGAAGGAACCCTACACCCCACAATGTCCCTGACGGATAGGCACCCAGCCTGCAGGTATCATCCAGGAATGAGTATCTAGCGCATACCCAGCCTCTGTGAATGCTAGATATTTTTATTATTATCTAGATATTATCATTGTCCTATTACCCTACACATGCCAAAATGAGGCGCTGCTTCTCAGGAAAGTTAACAATTCAGTCAATGGATCTAGGATATTAGGTAAGTGATGCCTTTTAATTGGCTGATTGTTAGCCATGTAATTCCAAAAGGCCATCTGATTGGCTCATTACTCTAGCCAAGTGATCCCTAAGGAACTTTTGATTGACTGATTACCCAGTCAATAATTCCTAAGGGCCATTTTTTTGTTGATTTTTGGTACCGGGGATCGAACTCGGGACCTTATGCTTGCAAGGCAGGCGGCAGCACCACTGAGCTAAATTCCTGGTCCTAAGGGCCATAATTTTCAGAAAGGGAACAACAGGTATCAAATCACCAAGAAGTGAGGCAGCTTCTCCCTCTGATTGAACCCACTCTTCACCTGCTGGCCCCGAACACTGGTTTTCCTCAACTCTCCCTACACAGTGCTCTCACCCTGAGCTCTGTGTACTCCAGGGAAGATAGAGCCCAAAGGGAAGCACAATGCATAAAATAAAATGAACTTGTAAAATTAGACTTTTGATTTCAAAGCTATGTGGCAGGTGTGCAGTTGCTCGAGGCTCCACCCCAGAGCCCTGTATTACCACACTGTTGTCCACAGAGGTGCTTTGATGGGAGCATTAAAGAGCACTGTTATTATCTCCAAAATGCAGACCCACAGCCAACTGACTGTACATCAGCAATTTAAACCCAGCTTAGAAGAGACTCTCACACACCCTTTCCAAACAAAAGGCCCACCGTACTGTCACAGACAAAAGACGAAGCTGCAGAACAGAATGATAAAAATAATCTCATTTTTTTTCAAGTACACCCGATAATCTGGAAACACAACCAACTGTTGATGCTGCTTATCTCCGAGAAATGGGATTTCTCTGGTATTTACAACTGTTGCTTTTAAAATTAATTATCACTCTAGTTAAAGAAATAATAAATACTGAAAGAGAATGTTTCAGGGTCAGAGACCAATCCTTCCTAAATCCACAAGATAGTTTCAGGAGCAGCAGATGGAACAGTATAGAGTTCTAGAAAGTACTCTGTATTCCTAACAGAAACTCCAAGGAAAGTAACTCCAGCCCCACCCTCTGGGCTGACCCAGCATGGAGCCCTCCTTCTGTTCAGTCCCTCCAGCAGCCACCCCATGGGAAAGTCCCTCTGGGTGAACTCAGCCAGTGGGGCTTATCTCTGAGCATTTATGATGGTGCCTGAAACTCAGGTACACAATTCACAGAGCTACCCCAGACTGAGCAATACCTGAGAGGCAGATGGGCCACTTTATTCCCAGGGATTCCCACAGCAGCTGTCTCTGCCCTTGAGTTCTGAACTAGGCAGAGAATTACATCTTACTTACAATGGAAACCCCTGCTATTGGACCAGATAGGAAATATTTAGGTTTTGCAAGCACCAGTTCACTCCAGTGGATCAAAGCAGGAAGCTGGACACAGCATAACTCATAGCCAGTTGCTGAGAACTTAACCACTTATAAAATAGTTTGGAAAGGACATGTGGCTACCACAATGACAAAGAAACAGCTGTGCCCATGAGTGTTCATACTCTAGAAACACCCTCCAACAAGGTGACCAGGTACATGTAGCTGACTTCATGCAAGGTACTGAGAGGCCAAGCAGCCTTGTATTTAAAACGGGTGGAATTGCGCTTCCTGAGTATCAGTACGGTTCTGACACCTACTAGCTATGAGAACTTTGGCAAGCTACTTAATCACCACTGCTTTAGTTACTTTCATTGTAAAATGGAGCTAGCAATACTGTAGCCTCTAAGGATTGTTGTGAGGATTAAGTTAGCTAACATGTATAAAGAGCTTAGAACAGTTTCTGGCACATATTAAGGTGTCTGTAAGTCTTCTTTATTATTGTGGAAATATAGGAAGAAGAACCCTAGTCTTCACTGGAGGTGGGAATATATGGGAAAGAAGGCTCCTAGAAATGATACTTGAGCTGGGTACAGAAGGACTTTCCAGGTCCATAAGGCTTAGAGAATCCACCATCATAACAACAGACTACTATCAGGCAGGCCACTCCTGGCAGGCCAAAGGCACAGTTGTTGGCATGTTTAGAGGATGGTAATGGGCCTGCAACCTGAGCTAGAGGAGGAGTGGAAAATGGAGAGGTAGGCCAGTGCCAAACCCTCCCAATCCACAAGTACCACATGGAGAAGTACAAGCTCTGGCCAAAGACGAGAAATTACTCAAATCTTTGGAGAAAGAGGCTAACATTCAGATCTGAGGTCATTTCAGTAAATCAGCTGGCAGCTACTGAGTCTCTCCTGTATTCACTGCACTACAAAATGGGTGGAAGGGAAAGCACTGGGGAAAGATCAAGCAAGCTTTGTACCTTCTAGCTTTTATAGCCCTTATAATGTTTAGCATAGTACTCAGTGCTTGCTCAGTGAATGTCTGTTAGGTTTTTGTTTTGTTTTCTGTGTTGTTTTTTTTTGGGGGGGGGTTGAATTAAAACAAAGAAGACTATATCTAAAACTCCTGGGAGATTCTTCCACTTT